TCCCGGCTTTGTAGGGATGCGAGGTCAATGGTCTAACGACTACGGCATGCACGACTATGAGTACACCCCCCCCCATCCTCCCTCGATTTCATCCCCGTGGTTCATCTGCTGTGTGGCGTCACCATTGTGTGATCTCGTTGGTGTGGTTGATGGTTGGTGTTGTCGTAGCTTCGCTGATGTTGCTGGTGTTCCGACCCCTCTTCGTTATCTGCCCGTTGACTAGTGCCCCCCCCCCCCTCCCCTTCCCTCGATCTATTCCCCGTGGCACATATCATACCACAATGTGGCGTCACCAAAAGATGGCTGGTCTTCTCGGGCAAGATGGACGAAGCGAGGGAGTCTCTGCAATTCGTCACACCGGGCATCTCCGAACTGGCCGTGGCGGAGATCCAGGTATTCAGTTTGTGTTTTGTCGCTTACTTGTCGCCTTACCCGCCGCGCGCGCCGGCGTGTGTGTTTTGTGTTTTGTTTAAGTTGCATCGACTGCGCCACATCACCGGCTACCCGGTCATTCGGCGGGACCTAACAACATGAAGCGCAGCTAAAGGTCATGATCTGGAACCAATCATCGCTTTTTTTACCAGGCCATCGCTGTAAGCTCAGCACCAATCACGGTTCCCAGCGTGTTTTGTGGCATCAATATCCATTCTTGTGGGTGTGGAGTGTCCCCCCCCCCCCCCCCCCCCCCCCCCCNNNNCCCCCCCCGCTCTCCGTGCCTTTCTCTGTCTACTCCCTCTCACTGTTGTCTTGTTTTTTCGTCCTCGTTTTGTTGCTTTTATGTTGCGGTTCGGCGCGTAACGGTGGTGTTGTGCTCGGTGCCACTATATTCGTACATCACTTCGCGTCGCCGCCCCCACGCTACGTATGCTCGGTGCGCAAGGTTTCGATTTTTCCTCTGTCCTCTTGTGTGTTTGGTCTGTATGTTATTTGAGACGCTGAGGTACTACATGCAAGTCTCTCCCCTCCCCGCCCCCCCGCTGTGGTGTATCGACTACGGCATGCGTGGACATGAGTGCACCCCCTCCCATGTCGTAGATGCACCCAAGCGTATGTCGAAAACAACGGAGCCTGCAACAAGAGCTTGTGCGCTGCCCGTGTCTGCGTTTCTACGTGTCCGCCCCATGTCTATGTCCTCTTTGGTATCGTACAAAACGCTAACTACGTGAGAGGTCTCTTACCCTCTCCCGGCATTTCGACGAATCACTGCCCACTGCAAAACAAACACGAAACCGGATATTTTCCGCTCTGGCGGTTGCACAGGATTCCCCCCCCCCCCCCCCCCCCCCCCCCCCCC